GTTTAGAGCACTTTTTGCACACAAAAACATCGGTCGATGTGTGATTACGTTGTAATGTTCGCTCGTATCGTTCGTTCACAACTGCAATGCCTCACAACTCATTATAGCACACACACAAACGATCCAATGAAACTGTACAAAAATTCTCACTTTGCAGCATACGAATATACACAGCAATAGATTGTTTCCAGCAGCAGCAACAGCAGCATTCTAGCTTATGATCAGATAGCATCGTGAACTACTTTAAATACTTCCATTTATATTTAGACTCATTTACTTGCGAAAAAAAAGAGAGCTTATTGTTAGTTTAAACGCTGCTACAACTAAAATTAACGATAAGCGCACCAAAGAGTGAAGCTCGAAACTGAGATTAGACTGTGAACTGAGTTCTATGCTAAACCTCTGACCATTTCCTCACAATCAGTTTAACTCTTATTAGGTAAATTATTGGCTTGTAATCAGTGGAAGAGAAGGAAATTCTCGAATGCTTTCCATAAGACTACAGCGTATTTTTACAAAAACAACTCCATCCAGCTTCAGTGGTGTTTCACTACAAATCTGTAATCATTTCAATAGGTATTGCAATGAAGTCGGAAATATTTTCAAAACACAAAGTTATATTTTGATTAATTTTAAAATGAAATTTCAATTTCAAAGCAAGCAATCTAGTTGCCGGATGTTTCTTCAGAAAACTAAAAGGAAGAAGGCACTTCATTTCCCATCGTCATAAACAAAACTCTCATGTCAAGCATTACTTAAGCTACTCACTAAAAGCTAGTTGAGTGGATCAACTGAACACTCGAATAATGAACACTAAAACAGAAGTGAAAACATCCGATTTTGCAGCATTATCGTCAGAATATCAGACCATTTTATAAGAAAATGATGAATAGTGGGCAAACATATTATATCATAATATTGACACATTACATCAAAGTACATGCTAAATGCTGATAATGATTCCAGCACTAATAATAATTATTATTATTAACAAATAAATGATAATAAGAAGTAGACGAAGAAGTAATATCAGTAAGTAATACAAAACGTATAATAACAATAAATGTCCTTGCGTTGGATCGCTGTTAGTATTGTGCTGCACTTCAAAAAGATGAATTGACACTTAAAAGAACCAGCACAAGATTTAGTGATGTTTAAGTAAAGGCAATTGAGAACTTGTACGACGAAGAAAATTTCTTCCAACGGAAACGATGAAAAACGATTCAGTGAAGAATATTTCGCTTTCCGTACAAAACACCGCATGCACACTAATGAATTACTGTTTGTTCATCACTCGATCGAAAGAATTTATGACCAAATTCAAACGTTTACAAAAATGAAAGTTCATTCACTNGTTGAGTTTAGTGAAAATTGCAGAAGAAATTGCTTTTATCCACTGGACGATAAATGAATTCAAAGAATACCGAAAAATTTTCATGACGCATTTTGTATGCATATATCTTCAAAATTTTACAAAGGACTGAAAAATTCCTCATCGAATCAATAACTTCATAAGCTTGCCATTCGGTTGAATTGTAGAATGAATGATAAACTAGATAAGTGAATGATAAACTGAAAGACTAGATAACTGATAAAGATAACTGATAAACTGAAAAGCTATGAACAACCGAAGATTTTCACGCAAACATCAACAAAACGTTCATTCTTAAGTCTCTTCACTGATTGCAAAAAACTGAACTGATAGAAGAGCTTCGAATGACAAAAACAATCAAAAAACAATCAAATTGAGGTGGAACAATAAATTGAAAGTCAAATAAATCAACTGAAATGTTGACGTCCGATGTTGTTCGGAACGAAATGAAATCAGAGTATATTGGTTGTAATCATTAAGCGAAAAAGTTGTTTGCATGCGAATGATGCAATTTATTCAGTAATGATCGCAGTGTAAACACGCACAAAAAACAATGTTTTTTTATCGAAATGTTTAACTAATCGACGAAATGTTTTACTAATCACGAGATTGTGAAGTAATTTATCAGTATATCGCAAAAAATTCAGTCACTGTTGGGAAGTTTCATCGTATTATTCGATGAAACTGTTTCTTTCAAACTTGATCAACACACCCTTTTTCAAATTTGTCCAATAATGTTCATAATTTCAAGCACTCAGTAACAGAGTTTTCCTATAACCGGCCCTTCATCTAGTTCTAAACTGAAGTGGTTTTGGGTAGCTCTCTATTTTGGGCTTCGACCTCCTCTTTATTCTGCTGGCCTTTGGTCTCCCACTCTCCCCATTTTACCCTCCTTATACTCTGCAACTCTCAAAAAGAAGCGATTATGATGCGCTTGTTAAAAGTACCGAGATTCTGTGAACTACTGCAAATTTAAATTCTTGAAGTGATAAAAACTATTGAATTACTCTTCGCTACATACTGAAGAAAACAGTAAATTAGTGTTATTGACAAATGATTACCTGCGGCGCAATTAGAAATATTACGATGATGTCCAACGTTTCGGCGTTGTATCCTCTTCAGAAACATTTTTTTGATTCACTCAAGGATGCGATGAACATTTGGTGGATGTATCTAGGATCAGGGATAACGGGTAGAGGAGTACAAATGAAGCAATAGTAGCTGGATAGATACTTAATAAGATGATGCAATAATGATTATGATATAGCGAAGACAATAATGATAGCTTATCATTTCATTGTTTACTGCTGTTCGGTGACGATTCAAAGTACTATCATTCAGAGCATCAGAGATGTTCTTTGAACATAAACTTCAAAACAATTTCAAATTTGATTTCCTCATCGTTAGTTTACTGTGTGTGTTTATCTTATGCAGTACACAAACACCAAACATCTTGCTCGATGCGTCTACGTGCAAAACTTTCAGATTCTACAATATAGGCAAAAACTCTTCAATATAGTCAAATCAATCAACAATTATAATTAACATTCTTTGATTTTCTCAATAATCACCCCATCTCATCCATCTTTCAAAAAGTCCCTCGAAACGGTCACATTCCCGATCCGAATGAGCTGCTGCTGATCTCTGAATACAGAACACGTTTCCGTCTTACTTCTCCGACTTGTCAGGTGACATAGCAATAGACAAACAGGTACAACAGCTATAGGTAATAATTCCCTGCCAAGGCACATCAGAACGATACGTCAACACGGCCATCCATCACCCATCCAATATATTTTCTCAAAAGAGCTCATTTGCTATCCAGGCGATTTGTTGCCAATGAATGACCTTATTGTCAGAGTATCTGTACTCCGAACAACTGAATGTTCGTTTGCATGTTACTGCTTCAGTATGCAACAATATTAACGAACCAGTAATAGTGAATTGAATGCGAGTAAAACAAACAGTATCACTCATTTCAATTCATTCAATCTGAAAACATAGAAACCGAATATTGAATGTACTCGAATACTCACGAGATTTCGTACACTATCAGAAGGCAGCATTCAAAAATTGTATTCACTACACAATTGCATTATCAAATGTGAACGTTGCAACTGATAAATTCGCACACGTGATAGTGTGATAAGTGATAAAAACACGTTGATCAGAACAGTGATTACGAGTACTGGTTTGTTATTATTGCTGCACATTGAAGCAGTCACATGCAAGCGAAAATTCACTTGTTCAGAGTACAAATTATCTTTACTCATTTAAGAAATCGCCTTTATAGCAAAAACTTCTTCATTTGAGAAAACATACTGGATAAGAACGATATGAGAGCAGATTGGGATCGTATTGCTTCAGAAATCGTCAACTCAGCTAGTAAACAATACATCTTTTTTTTCAGATTAACATTGCATGAAATTTTGTTGGCGGTGACGTGAAGTGCCATTTAAACAGTGTGATTGATAGAAACGGCTGAATAATCACTCGAATGTTATCATTTTATAGCTAATTTTTGGTTTTGTTATGAATGAAATTTGTTTGAAGCTGACGTAAAATGCTGATTGAACAAGGTGGCTAATGGAAACGGTAGCTTAAAAAGCAAATGATTTTTATCATTGTGTCTTTAATTTTTAGTGCTTTCATTATTTCAAACATGTGATCTGATGATTTGTTGATAAAGCACCAATATATCGTCAATACAGATGATTTATTGCTCTCAAGTTTTTACGTTGATAATCTAAAAGATACGTGTTTATTTAGTGTGTTCTTTGATGCACTATTAATTTTTCCTAATTTCAATATTTATTTCCGTCATCACAACCAAATTATCAAGCACACTATCTGTTCATTTAGAATTGAACAGATTAATTGCCATTAATTGTCATTTGAGTCTTTTTTCGAATAAACATTCAGACGAAACAATCCCATAAATTTACCAATGAACCAAACGAAAAAGTGATTCTTGATTTTGATTTTTCACTCGCATTCGATTAAAGAATGTCATCTTGGTGTGGTGTTTGGTATTATAAGAAGACAGAGGGAGCAACGGGACAGTAAAATTTGTGTTGTAGGTCATGAAGCAATCATATGATAACGCAGAAGAATCGCTTGACTTCATGTTACTGTACACGGTACCGTGTTACTGTAATTGTTGCTGCCTTGTAACTACGGTACTGTAATTTAACGGTACGTGCTACTGTAATTACTGTACACAGCCCATACGGTAGGACCAATTAACTACACGCAATCGTTTTTACAGTGCTTACAATTAGCATAATCAAAAATTCATTAAAAAACTGCGCTCAGTTCTCTAGTATCGCCACTCAGATTTGCTTTGTGCCTCTCGAATCGGAGCTCCGTTTCTTGAGGATTCTCTTGCACACTTACCGAATCCCCATAGAAATATTCCTACAGTGTTCATTTCATATCGTATCAGTGAATCGCTTCTATCGATAATGCAAAGAGTCTCCGAAAAAGCCTAAGCCGAAGCCTATTTATTGGAATTTTTTCTGTCTTTCACCATAAATCAAACGACAAACGACAGGGTCAAGTGAAGCAGTGCATCAAAACTAAACGGTCAAGAAATAATGCATCATTTCAAGCTATCAATATCAAATCTATGTCTAAGTTCAGGATCTCAGTACTGGAACGACCGTCCAACTATGCGTCCTACAATAAGCGAACGCTAAGTGGAACGGGTCGAGAACACCAACGATCAACGCAAAAATTTGCGGAATTGGATGACATAAGAAGGCTGAAAGCGGAAAAAAAAGACCAAACCGTAAACAAAAATAAGAAGAAAATGGTGGTTGCGTTGAAAATGGAGAGTAAAAAATGACTGAAAAATAAAACGCGTCAATGATCGAAGAGAATATCAGATGAAAGAATAACATGTTTAGATTAGGTTCCATGTTACGTCACCGCAATAACGTTTAACGTGTTTTTCAATTGCGAATGAAAAATGCCCGATTGAACTCAACTCAACGTTCCGAACACAATAAGCGTTTCAAACGGGCATGAAGAAAATTCTGCATGAGCATACGATCGGCAACATCTACTCGCCGATTATTTACTAACAATCGAACGGCTGGCTGACCGTACAATGATGTACCGCTCCGAAACGCTATCATCGAGATAAGACACTCAATCAAGCACCAACAGATCATTGAAATTTGTTTTGTGGCCACTACGAAGCTGCTGCGCTAGCAATATCAAACTGAACTGACTAAATGACATAACTGACTCATCGAATGACTGACACAACGAAGCACTGAATTTTGCGACGAAAAACTAGATGTGATCGTGATACGATGCAGTTGCAATCCGATAGAATTGTTGCATTTGGGCAGTTTTTGCTTTACGGCAGTAATCGTATGTGACAAGCAAGCAATGCAGCAAGAATGGGGCGAACACACATAATATTGGCCATTCAGAAAAATTTTACGATGTTCACAATGCAAACAACATAGAATTATCATATAGACTCTGATGAAACATTTCATGAGGCAAGAATTTGACGACGATGCAAACAACAAAGAATTTTCACAAGGCGCCTAGAAACGCTTAGGCTTAGAAATTTACATTGAAATTGCACTTGTCACTTTTATAATGCACAAAATTTATTCACTGAAGCTTGTTCAGAGCGAAACGTGATCGAAACACAACGGATGCAGTACCTAATAAGCAACGATATCGAAATGCATGAAGACGATCAAAATGTACCAGAAATAAAGAGAAATAGTCAGTGGTTATTTGAGTGTATAAGGTTGAAACAGGCTAATGAATTATTCATTGCAATGCACTTGCAAGCAATTCAAATTTGTTTTATGTTTCACTTGTATGCATGATGCATTATGCAACGAGCGAATACCGAAACGTTAAACATGCAAATGTTCATCTCAAGCACATTCTGATCAACGTTCCTGAATGCGGGAGCAATATGGTCCAACAATAAGCCAACAGATCATGAACAGATAAGAAAGCGATTTGACGAAAAAAAGTAATAAGAATTCAAAAATTTATCTACTGCAAGATATTTTCTTATTATTGCAAAATTATCGATCTCATTTCAAATTATCGAACTTGAAAGCATTTGCTAAGTGGTATTTTCATTTACTCGCAATGAGAGTGGCTCGGTCGGATTTTAGTCTATTAGGGTGATGAGCGCAGAAAATCGTGAATCATAAATTCAACGCATGCATTTGCAAACGTATCAAATGGAGAATGAACGTTCGAATACACATTTTCAAACATTTAAGCAGATGATGCAAATTCATATACGTATATGCTATTATTAGATTGTTTGATGAAATTATCAAGTAGCAGGCAATATTGCATCATCATTATATCAAGCAGTATATT